ATTATAAGTCAATGGGAGAAAATTGAAATGCGCCTCTTTTGGACAAAAGACATTATAAACACTCCCAAACACCGAATTACAAGTGGTTTAGACACACTGAACATGAAAATGGTGTCCGTGACCCTTGTTTATGCCCTGAGGTCATCTTAATTCACGAATGGTATCTAACAGTTTTTCGCAAATAACTTTTGATAGAGGCATGCTAGAGCGATGAAAACGCCTTAGATGTGTTCAGCTCGACGATACGGATCGACTGATATGCAGCATGACCCTTTCCGGTCAGGTCATGACCTTGACCTGAGGTCAAATTTTCAAGTTGACCTTTCAAGGTCAACTTATAGTTCATTCGATGCGTCTTGACGAGAGGAACACAATGACGGTAAAAGTAAGCTCGTACAAGGCATGGGTCAAAAGTTATTGCAGAAAAACTGTTTCCGAAAAAATCGGCTATTTTTGCAATTTTTGCCCCCTGCAGGCAAAACCGTTGACGTTAGGTCAAATCTGAGAGAATTACTCAGAAAGGGCTTTAATAGGGCTATCGAATGCGCTTTTCCGCGGCGCTGTAGCTCTATTGGTTCTCGAGTTATGCGTTGGCTTCTTGGAAATTTTCGACATTCGACCTGGAAATCGGCGAAATTTTGCCTTCAATGACCTCTGGTGACCTGACCTTTGACCTTACCAAAAAATTGACCGAAGTAATTTCGTCATTATTTTTGACGCTCTTTCGAACGCCGCCTTCCGCGTATCGCTACGTGGCCCAGGAGCCGAGTTACAAGGGGGGGTGTTCAAACACCCCCCCCCCCCAGCAGGGCGTGGAAATCCAGGACCCCCAGCCGGGCGCGGGTTAACTGTGCATATGTAAGCCCGAGTTTACTATTTGATGGATCGAGACTCTATCAGAATATAAGTGAAAGTTTCACTGTACATATTCCGTGCTAAGACAGACCCATTGTCCGAGCCAAGAGCACAACCTCGCTTCTTGAGATCTCCATCAAAACTCGCCCGCTCAGTCAGCCGAACACCTGGCCGAGCTTGATCAGCTGAATGGGTGAAAGCAACGTGCACCATGAGATGCTCAAATCATAGTAAGCTCACATCAAGAATAGCCGGTAAGCTTGGATAAAGAATAATCATTCAATTAATATGCCGTATACAATAAAAACAATTACTGACATAATCTGAAACAGTGCCGTCATCGTTATGAAAAAGGCCCTTGGCCTGGCGGGGGTTAAAAAGAAAGCATAAGTTGTGCGCAACTCGATGTAGGAGTTTTTTTTCAAAAGTGTTTCAAAAGTGCTCTACGAAATCTCCCTTGTTCAAATTCATCATTACGAGGTATATGTTCACTGTTCAGCGCAGCGAAGTCGTCGGGAGGATCAGGGCAGAGTCAACCGAAGCGGAAACGGCGCGTTCCTCTGTCGTTTCCGGCTCTCGCGAGCCATGCACTGGATGTCGCTTCCCATTCATCGTCGCCTTACCGTCTGTGTTACAAGCACCGGCTCTGTCGGAGAGCCCGCTGCAACTTTCAGGAGAAGGCTCATTGTTAATTCCGGATCTACATGCAAATCAATGGGACCGTTAGCTAAGCTCGATAAGGTCAAAGCAACGACAAATAATTGACAGTGAGAGAAATAAGAGAAAGACGAAAAAGAAGAGGAACATAGGATTTTAAAAAAAAAGTTCAGAGGAAACAAAATTCCTCAAAGATCCGATTGCAATAATTTACATGTCCGTTTTCTGCTCTAAAATTCAAGTTGTCATTGCTGTATATAGCTGATTACGGAGCGAGCGAAGCGAGCGTAGTCTTTCCTTCGATTAACGGAAATTTCTGAGTATGAGCGGCCGGCCGGCCGGCCGGCCGGCCGTGCGGACGCTTTTGCGAAGCTTATATCTCAGCAACCACTTGACCGATTTACATGCGGTAATTTTTGTAGGGTAGCTTCATTCCTTCTACCAAGTATTGGACTATTCCCGATGCATGTGGGTGACCCCTTATGCACGTGCCACGTGCAAAACGAAGAGGTGTCACTTTTGTAATTGTTGCAATATCTCGGTAACTACTTGGCCGATTGCGCTGAAAGTTGGCATGTAGGTAGGCACCCACTAGGCACTGCATATCCATGTGCCAGAGTTGGGATGCTGCTGCACGTGCGCACGTGCAGGGGTCGTTTCCAGATCTCGAGAACGGCTGGACCGATGGCGGTCAAATTTGGTACACGGTTAGAGACCAGTTAGTAGGGTGCCGTGCACAAGTCAGTTGGGACCCATTTTGCACGTGCGCACGTGCAGGGTGCCGCTCCCAGATCTCGAGAACGGCTGGGCCGATTGTGCTCAAATTTGGCACATCGCTAGAAACCGGTCAGTAGGGTGCCGTGCACAAGTCAGTTGGAGGTACCCCCTCGAAATTTCGCACGTGCAAGACTCACCCCCTCGCTCGCTCCGTTAGTCGCCCCAAAAGGCGCTATACTGGTTTAAAAAAATGCATGTTATGTCCAACAAAAACAAGCAAAGCTCCCAAAGTGAACCTGGTCATTATCCAAATATCCAGCCTGGTTTCTAAAACCAGCTGAATGACTCTCGACCGAACGCTTTTCCAACCGAGGAACTTTGTGTGGCTGAGAACTCTCAGGATTAGCCTTAGCACATGTTTCGAAATTGAAGAAGCAACGTTGGGTGCCGTAAGGAAAACCGATGGCTTATCACAGTGTTTGAATTATTGCATATTTAGTGCCCTTTTATCTTTTAGAGCGCTACCCGAGTGAATGTGTTGAAAAGGAGACAATCGGTTATTACAATACAAGCTGAATTTAGAATTCGGTGTATTCAATTTCAAGCTGATGCAGGTGTGTAGTTAGTAGTGGTTCCCTGACGGTGTGACTGCTGGAACTGTCCTGCACGGGAATGATGTAAAGGAATGCGGTAATGTCATGTGATATGGCGATCATCGCCCCGGCTGATCGTTACGGAAGCGGGTGGCGCCGCCGACACTAGGTTTGATGAATGTTCCGGTACTTTGTCCCGTCTAATGGGAGGGTTTTCTGGTCCACTGGCCGCCGGCCGTGCCATGAGGGAGGGGGCGTATCACAAATTATTTGCCCACAGGGTGAGATGGCTTGGAAAACCAGGGCTACGCCGCTTTTATAGAGGTTGCCCCATGATGGCGACCGGTGCCCACCACCAGCCAAATTAAGGGGGAGGAGAAAGCGCAATGTGCGTTTGGAGTTGCACACTCATTAGCACTTGGAAGGTCTTACGAACGAGAAACAGACATTCGAATATCTTAATTCATTTTAAGATTACTTAATCATCAAACGCTGATGTTTTCAAAACATACTGTTATTTTCAAACTAGTTGAGTCAAATGGGAGCTTAAAAAGTAATTCGATATTTTTATCTTTTTTGTTTTACCCCAAATGAAAGTGGCGTTACAATTCATTATCAAGAAGAAACGGCTTGCACAATGGAGATGTATGTACAACGTGTCAGCGACCACTATTCACGTCAATCAAGCATTATAAGCACCTATGGCATTTGATCCTGGTGTTACAAATGGTGCTTAACATCCAAATAACAAAAAAGTGATAACCGTTTGGGATGGGGCTACCTTATAAGGTGGCGAGCTCAAACAATGTGACGTAAATATATTTACGTCACATTGTTTGAGCTCGCCATGACACGTTGCAGTTTTCACCAGCCGGCATTCTGCAAATAGTTTCAGCAGCAGCGGTTCAATGTGGTGGCTTACAAGACAAATTCTAACAAGTGCACGTCGCATGTACTGAATAATGAATATGCATGTTTGAATATAGTTATTACCCACACAGAAAAAGCAACTCACAATATCCACCAAACAACAGCATACACGCTCTTTTTTGTGGCCAACGCAATTATTTATCGTATTATGAGGTCGCGACACTAGGCATTGCTTATGGCAATTGTGCTACAAAAACACATTCTCCATAAATGATAGAACAGATACCATCCTTGCCTGGTGACCAACAGAAGGACAACAGCAAGGCCGTATAAGAGGACAACAGTGAATGATGGTTGTCAAACCATAAACCGAACAGCAGGTCAATCGACCAAACGCCGGCTTTTTTATGCACATCGATATACGGATGCGTAAGCGTAAAAAGGTCAAAGGTCATAGCACTGTATCTGTAGCTCGGCCATCTTCCTCCCCGAACCGTCAACTATCAGTCAGTCTTCCTGTCAGTCTCCACGAATTGTGTCGGCGACTTATCCGTCTTGATCCCAGGGCTGTCTCGTTGTATCAATATAAGGATACAAGTCGGGTCGTTTGTCTCCCTGCACTGTCAGACATCGATCACCGCGACTAATCTGTCCCCTGAATTGTCCACTGCGGTAAAGTGTTCCGGGTATGTAAGACAACATGATGCAAGTAAGTAGCCGCTTGCATAATAATCCGTCACTCTGAAGCCAATGGACGCGACTCAGATTGGGTCTGCCCAGCAGTGAGATTTGCCAGGATAAATTGGAAGATAGTGTTGTTTTTTTTACCGTGTGGGCGAGAAGTCACCTGAGCCCCTGTTTGCTACTGCAGTGAGCACGCAGGGTGTGTGTGGCGCTGATGATCGCTCTTTGCCCTCCATTCTACTCACAGTGGACGGGCAGGGTGTGTGTGTGTGCGGCTGCACTCTGTCCCCCGCCCCGCTCTACTCACAGTGGACGGGCAGGGAGTGTGTGACGCTGATGGCCGCTCTCTGCCCCCGCCCCCGCTCTACTCACAGTGGACGGGCAGGGAGCATGTAACGCTGATGGCCGCTCTCTGCCCCCCCCCCCGCTCTACTCACAGTGGACGGGCAGGGAGCGTGTGGCGCTGATGGCCGCTCTCTGCCCCCCCCGCTCTACTCACAGTGGACGGGCAGGGAGCATGTGACGCTGATGGCCGCTCTCTGCCCCCCCCGCTCTACTCACAGTGGACGGGCAGGGAGCGTGTGGCGCTGATGGCCGCTCTCTGCCCCCCCCCGCTCTACTCACAGTGGACGGGCAGGGAGCGTGTGGCGCTGATGGCCGCTCTCTGCGGCAGCTGAGCGTTCTCGGCCAAACAGGTCAGTTCCAAACTGTCCTCCCCGACATCAGCAGTCAGCGTCAGCTCACTGACGGTGATGTTCGGATCCGCTGACGGCTGGCGGCGAACGTCACAGCACATCAGCACATCACATCATACATCACGTCACAGCATATCATATCAGCAAATCACAACATACACCACAGTACATAGTCACATCAACACAACATACCATACAACACACCAGCACAGTATGTACATCATACAACATATCACACCACCACATCACATCAGCACAACAAAACATTACATATCAGCACAGCACATCAGCACAGCGCATCAGGTACAACACATCACAGCACAACACATCCAGAGCGACACATCACATCAGCACATGACATCAGCGGAGCACATCACATATCACATATCAGTATCATTTACTGGCGCATCCTTACAGAGATAGCCTACATCATTCCAGCTTGTCGCATTGTCACGCACTAGGAAATGAGCGCATATTACATTAAGATTCTACGCATGCACGCACGGCTCAGTGACAGTTCTTGGATACCCTGCTTCGGTATGCCATTACAATGGATCGATGGTTCAGCTCCGCTGCCAGCGATATACTGAACATCAGGAGGCAAGGAAAGGAATATCAATCTGACACCCCTGAGAATGTTCTTCCTACCCTCGTCATGGGGTGAGGGGTGATGGAAGGGTGGGGAAGGGGTGGAGGCCATCATCCAGACGATCACAGCCGGATACCGGAGCCATCAGCCCGTGATGATCGGACGTGTAAGATCGAGATGCTCTCACATCAGCCGCGGCGTCGTTCCGTCATCACTGCAGGGATTCAAACGACCTCGGCATCAATAGCCGATCAGTGGAAACCGACAGGAAATCCGCGGCACCGGCTGTCTGTCACAGGCGCGGTAGGTATGTCACCTCAGCAGAGTTCGGTCCGCTTACAAACGGGGGCCACAGAAACGTCTGAGTCAGTGAAATGAACGCCAATCCATAGGATCACCCGAGTATGACCCCTGTGGGTAATACGAGCGTCATCAATGCTCGTTTGCGGGCCTCGTGGCCTGCACGTTGTGCTAACATTCCCGACCATGCGATGGCGGATGGCGTATTTCGGGTGCTAATGGCGACTTATGGCAGCCGGTGCGTCGATAAGCCGACCAACAACATAGGAATCACGTGACGTCATCAGCCGGGTATACGCCGCACGCAGCACCAGTCACGGCAATAAGGGAACGGCCGCGCGGCGAGGGCAGGACGGGCCACCAATGAGCTATGCCACTAACGAATCAAACCAATGCGCCAATAAACTATAATTGTGGCCAATCAATTCTACCTTGATGGCCTTACGCTGTTAGGGGACCGCGCTGTATTAGAATGGGGCGCGCTAAGCGCTCTGGAAGGGTAGTGTGGGCCACGGCGAAAATATTACCATTGAGGCACCAATTAAGACAGGCAGGACTGAAACGCATCACAGTTATGACAATATGATATGTCATAGAGGAATTTAGCAATGGTTATTTGATACTAAGACAGGGTCAATGGATGTGCAACGTTTAGGGGAAGCCGGGGGAAGCCCGGGCGCGGGGGAAGCCCGGCCACCCCGTTTCCGGCTAAATTATTCACAATAAAATGCTCAACTGTTTGTCCTTTCAGCGTGGCAGCTAAGGTAACGCCAGCAAAAAAGTTAAGGCTAACAAAAATTGCATATTGTTTGTTAAAGTTATAGCGCAAAAATGATATTTTAAGGGTTTTTAGCTAAAAAGTGAGATTTGTCGCACTGTTAATGTTATACCATACAGTACTAATATTTATACGAATGTTATGTAAGGACCGTTTAAGTGTTTGTAGTGAGGGGTGACGAGGCAGGCTGGCTTAAGTATGACATTTTTTTTCGAATATCGCTGTTCTAAAATAAAAATTAGCACATTGGGGTAACCCCGGACGAGTGGCCAAGCTTACCCCCAACCGAGAGCAATGCCACTAAACCACTGTTTTCCATGAGATAATAGGTACTGAGCAGGATTGCTGTACACCTAGATCAAAGATAAATTTCGAAAGTAAACATGTTATCATAGGCAAAGCCAGTCATGTCACTTAAGGTCAACTAGGGTCAAACTACGTTTTTGCAGATAACGCGACAGACAATGAAGCTAGAGCTTCAAAAATGGTGTCGTTGTGTTCTTCTTCATCAGCCGAGTCGAATGATATGCAATATGATGCATTAAGGTAAAAAGAAAAATAAATTTTAAGGAATTTTGAAATACACATTTTTTGTCAATTTTGCATCACGATTTTCATTGACCTGTACTGTGTATGTGGTAGACGTTAGCTAAAATACCAGTAGTGACATAAACTCTAAGATGTCCAGAGCTAATCAGTACCTTAATATTTCACTTTCCGTTAATATTTGGAAGACACATAATGGTTTCATCAACTCGTTGTAAAGCGCTGGGGAGGTGGCCGGCGTTACCCCTATGCCGGGCTTACCCCATAAAAATCAACACTTTTTTAAAACTCGATTTTCTCAACCTTATACTTATTCCACGAAACCGAATTTTTGGGAAAACACGGCCAATGAACTTAGCTAGCTAACAGGATATCAACATTTTATACAGCACGTATGGTATGTAATAAAAATGAAAAAGAGCTTACTATGCCGGGCTTCCCCCGGCTTCCCCTATACATAAATAAAAGGAATGCAGGACAATGCCGCTTTGGTATCTTTACAAATATTGAATGCACCTGAAAAGACGTCGGACATCGGAAGGGATCATATAAGTGTTCGCTTCACTGAGCCTACTTACCAGTATAACGCCTTTTGGGGCGACTAACGGAGCGAGCGAGAGGGTGAGCCTTGCACGTGCGAAATTTCGAGGGGGTACCTCCAGCTGACTTGTGCACGGCACCCTACTAACCGGTCTCTAGCGATGTGCCAAATTTGAGCACAATCGGCCCAGCCGTTCTCGAGATCTGGAAGCGGCACCCTGCACGTGCGCACGTGCAAAATGGGTCCCAACTGACTTTTGCACGGCACCCTACTAACCGGTCCCTAACCATGTGCCAAATTTGAGCGCCATCGGTCCAGCCGTTCTCGAGATCTGGAATCGACCCCTGCACGTGCGCACGTGCAGCAGCACCCCAACTCTGGCACATGGATATGCATTGCCTAGTGGGTGCCTACCTACATGCCATCTTTCAGCGCAATCGGCCAAGTAGTTACCGAGATATTGCAACAATTACAAAAGTGACACCTCTTCGTTTTGCACGTGGCACGTGCATAAGGGGTCGCCCACATGCATCGGGAATAGTCCAATACTTGGTAGAAGGAATGAATCTACCCTACAAAAATTACCGCATGTAAATCGGTCAAGTGGTTGCTGAGATATACGAGGGGGTATCGAAAAGTTCTGATCATCACATAGAAGATATAGACCGATTTTGATGATTTTTGGTTGGTATTATATTTGGTTCTTAAGAACAATGTTCCCGCTAAGAGAATCCTGAGAAGTGGTTTTATCTTATGTGGGAGAGACTTAGAAGTAAAAAAGATGAGTATTGGGCCCATTGAGGACCGAACCGTCATCCAACTAATGCATTTGAAACGGTATCACATTCAGAAAATGCATCAAGAACGTGAAATTAGTTTATGGCGAGGAAAGCCTATCTCATGCACTTACCGAAAATGAAGAAATAATTTTCAACTTGGTTGCATGGCCCTTGCAGGGGAGTCAAGAAGTGAGTGACTTCCAATGACTGACAAGGTGGTGACTGTGAAGGAAGTGGAGGACCTCATCCTTACAGATCGTCGTATGACCTTTCAGATGATTGTGCAACAGAAAGGGTTCAATGCTGGCAGTGCCTGAAAATATTATCAGGGAAGAACTACAGACGATAAAGGAGTCAGCCCGCTTAGAAGTTCGTGTGTCTACTTTGTTCAAGAGAAAAATGCGTCTTAGCCTTTCGAAATGAAAACTAGGCCTTTTTAGGAAATTGAAGACATCTACGATCATTTGATGACTTGTGACGAATGCTGGGTCTATGTGTATGATCCAGAGACAAAAAGATGATCAAGAAGTTTAAGCACGGCACATCTGTCCTTCTTAAAAGGCGAAGATGCAGAAGCCGATATGGAAGGTCAATGCTATCAGTGTTCTGGATCTGGCGTAGGATAGTCATTACGGACTGTCTTGATGATGGTCGGATAATGATAAGCAAGCACTACTGCACACTTTTGAAGAAGTTGCGAGATGGCCTCAAGCAGAATCGCCGCAAAAAAGCCCAAGAAAGATGTTTTATCCGCACCGACAGCGCCCCCGCCCATTCGTCCTGAGCTGCGATTGAAGAAACAACATGATGTGGACATTAAATCCTACCGTATCAACAAATGCACCTGACCAGGTATTAACTTACTCATGATTGTTGCGGGAGATGAAGAATCCACACTATGGCCGGTGTTTTAAGGACAGCAATGACGTCATTGATGAGGCGGAGCAGTGATTTACGGGACAGTGCGAAGGTCCTACAATAACCGCCTGAGGCAGCTGAAGAAACGATGCAATAAGTTTGCGGTCGTGTGTGGTGATTTGTAAAGGAGTAATGAACATCATGTAAAAAAATCAAATTTCTATCACATCTAATTCATGGTGATGATCAGAACTTTTCGATACCCCCTCGTAAACGTCGCAGAATCGTGACCACGGCCGGCCGGCCGGCCGGCCGGCCGGCCGCTCATACTCAGAAATTTCCGTTATTCTACGTAAGACTCCGCTCCATTCGCTCGCTCCGTAATCAACAACATTAAATCTAATCATTTGACAGCATATTGGTTATAGGTTTGCAGTCACTGATTATTTGTCATGTGAACTTTCCTAGCTCAAATTCATGACATTTGTGTATAGGCATCACTCTACCTTTTCTCAGTACTGAATAGTCCTTGCGCCACCACGCCTTCCATTCTAAGTCCCTTCCTCCAATGCTTCGTCCCTTCCGCATATACGAAGCACCTTACTTCCACACATTAACCCTCGCCGGACCTATTGGTTTTCTACATACGCGCCGGCCGAGGGGGGGGGGGGCGGGTACGACCCCCCCCTCACCGTTTCGCCCCTGGTGGAGCTAGCGCGTCGCGGAAAAAACGAGCGTGTGCGCCGTTACGAGACGCAGAGATTGGTACCCGATTTTAAGGTCCTAGGTCAACCGGTGACCTCTGAGGTCAGGTCAAGTGCCCCAAGGTACGGTTCAGTTTTTGGTGAATAACTTCGCAAAAAACGGCCGCAGAGCCGCGATTTTGGCAGCATCGTGTTCGCCTCGCTCAGGCGCGTCGAATGATATACTTTTTGTTCGGGTCAGGTCAACTTGGGGTGTTGACCTCAGGTCAAGGTCAGGTCAGCACCCCCAGGTCACGAAATTGGTCGAAAGAGGTCATGTCGCATATCATTCGATTCGGCAGGTCTTCCTGAGTCCATTGGTGGCTTTCTCGACTCGCTAGCTCAATTTGATCAGGAGTTAGATGACGTCATAAATGACGTCACACAAGGTCAACATTGCAAAAGTGACGCATCTAACCTTGCAAGGAGTGCATCAAATCACGATTCTGTGTGCTTGAGATAGTTGGAGATCATTCCCGGCGCCAGAATAACAGTTTTCATTTTTCCCCATTGACTTATAATGGTGAGGTCACGAAAATGACCTGACCTAATATGACCTTTAGGAAAAATCCGAGATATACAAGTTGTGAGACTCATAATGGATACTAGATCCTGCAAGTTTCATTTCCCTGTGACATCTCCTCTGGCAGTGAGGGCGTTGCGAAGTTGCGACATCTGAAGACCGTGCAGAGGTTCACTTATGACGTCATAGGTCAGTGACCTGACCTGACCAAAAAATGCGGTTGGTGTCAAAAGATGCGGCTTAGATCAAAGGTCAGGTATGCCAAGTTTCAGCTCTCTATCGCCAGCGTGTTCGGAGCTATCGCGAAAAAACCCTATGGGGGGGCGGCACCCGCCCCCCCCCCTCGGCCGGCGAGGGTTAAGTCTCTAATTCACCCCTTGATTGATTCATCAGCCCACCAAATCGCCCTCACCCCATCCCTGCACTCACCAGTTCTCGAATGCCGCTGACAATCGGACTGTAGGCGCCGCGAAGCCACCGGATTCTCGCCGCCGGCCGAGACCCACGTGCCGTGCACGTGACCCTGTAGGTGACCTTTGCCCTCAGGTGGTCGGGCAGCTGCGACAGGCTCACGTCCAGAGGTGGCAGCAGCAGCTGCAGACGCAGTGTGGTGGTTCGCGGCTCGGTCAGGTTACTGTTGGAGGCCGCGCAGCTGAGTTCTGAGCGCAGGTCGGTCCTCGCCAGGTGGTGGAGGGTCAGAGTGTTGCGTACCGCTCCGGCCGGGCCGTTCTCAAACGTGTTGTCCAGCAGGTGACCCCTCCAGTACCAGAGCAGCTTCGGTGGGGGACGACCTGAGGGGGGAGGGGTTAGCGAGTATGATGGGGCGGAGCTGGGGGAATGGAAGAGTCAGCGCGTACCTTGGGGCGGGGATAGGGAAAAGGTAAGCGCGTACCGTGGGGCGGCACTGGGGAAGGGAGCTGCACATATGGTGGGGCGGAGCTGGGAAAGTTGTCAGCGCGTACGGTGGGGCGGTGTTGAGGAAAAGGGTGTCGCGTACCGTGGGGCGTCACTGGGGAAGCCCTTCCCCGCACTAACCCCTGGGTTAGTGCGTATTGTGGGGCGGGGCTGGGGAGGAAGTCGCGGGTCGGCGAACAGGGGAATGGCATGTGTGTGCGGTGGTCGTGTCGATCGGCATTAGTGGAACGGAATGTTTGATAGTAATCGATGGTCTACTGGTGAATGATGCAGGTATCGACACGCGCCCTTCGCACGCACTGATGGGGGTGGAAATAGGGCCACACGGTGGCGTGGCGCCAATTAATATTCCAACCAGTAATTTGCTCACACGCCGGGTGTATCCGGTCCTCTAATGCTCACACTTGAGGAATTATAAACAACCAAGAAGGATGCAACGGAATATAAAGGAGTTTTGTTTATATCAGTCGTTTTTTTACGACGGGCCATCTGGCGAATGCACCTTATTTGACCAAATCTGCACCAAATATCTTATGATAAATATCTTTTTATCATGAATTTATTTGTGTTTTAATCGAAAATAATCTCAAATAATTTCAAAGAATGAGTTATATAAGTATCTGTTAAACCCAAATTGATAACTTTTAAGAAGCACACTGAACCTAATTTGACCAACTCTGCACCAAATGTGCACCTAATCTGCACCAAATGTGTACCAGATGGCCGTCGTGAAAACGGCTAATATACTACACGTACAGCATACACATTACACATGCATCATAATCGGGTTTAAGTAGCAGAGAATAGAACGATGTTAAGACTATATGGCCTTTAAATTTCTTTCGCTTGTTCTTTGTTGCAACAACCGAATAGCTCTAATGTAAGGGTTCGGATATAATTCTCGCCCTCGCATCTCTCTCTCTCTCTCTCTCTCTCTCTCTCTCTCTCTCTCTCTCTCTCTCTCTCTTTCTCTCTCTCTCTCCCTCTCTCTCTTTCTCTCTCTCTCTCTCTCTCTCTCTCTCTCTCTCTCTCTCTCTCTCTCTCTCTCTCTCTCTCTCTCTCTCTCTCTCTCTCTCTTTCTCTTGAACATAATCGGCTTATTTTTCGCTGCGTCCAGGGAAACGCAATAAATAAAGTTCTTGCCAGTGTTCCGATCACAACTAAGCTTCGTACCAGAAAAGAGCCAGCGTGTTATTACATTGGAAACCGAAGCTCCATTTCTAACGGCTTTTAACAAGCATGACATTGAGTCGATTAGTTAGAAACACACCATATCAATCGTTTCATTGTTCTCAAAAGGAAAATTCTCTCACGTTGATATTGTACAGCAGACGTAGGTATTCTCCTTTTTGTCTAGCGTGTATCCTCATCTGCAATATGAATTTCTGCGTTACGAACACGATATTGGCTATTGCAGGAAGCGATACATAGTTAGTAGTCTGACGAGCTTACAACGAATTGCACGTACGAAATTCATCTCTGGTTCGTTGCCGCCGCCTAACTATAGCCAAGTTAAACATTCCTCGCCGAACGGTAATAACTTGGCAGAAGTTTGCGGCATCAATATCAGATATTGGTATTCTTCCAATATCCCGGCAAGAAATATATTGAATAAAAGCACCACGGCATAAAATTAGTGAACGTTGTTTTTAACCCGGCAGTTGCTGGGGTATTTCGCCACCCACCGTTTGCTGGGGGGGGGGGCGTTAAACGCCCCCAGCCGATAACTCGAGAACCAATAGGCGCAGCGAAACGCACGAGGCGGCAAACGAAAGAACGCGACGAGACGCTTCAGATGAGTACTTCAAAGTTGAATTTTGAGGTCACAGGTCGGGTCAAGGTCAGGTCAAACACCTGAAATCGGGCTTTCAGTAGCATGGACTTCAGGACTTCGCAATGGGCGCCTCTCGTCAGAAACTCTGTCAAAACGGTGCACAATCCATCAAATAAGGCCTACAAGAGTGTCAGCTCCATGTAGGGGTCAGTCAAGCATAGGTCAGGGTCAAGGTCAGGTCAACCGGGTAGGTACATATCCCCGAAAATCAAAACTGATATTCGCAGCCTATGACACATGTTTCATGGGTAGTTTGGGCCGTAGAACACGATGGTGACATTCACTTTATCATATGTGTACGTGTTTGGCTCAAAAAGTTCAATTTAAGAAATTCATGTATCATGGTCGTGAAGTAGTCACGAGAAATTGTCAAGATTCAGTTCAAGATTTTGGAAAATGCGGAACGATCATCAATAATCGAAGATAGCCATTTGATTGTTCATGGTATTGGCATTCTAATGGCGTTTACGGCATGTCTGTATGTCTATTCTGTGATTTTATATGATTTTTTGAACATATGCCGTTTTTGGTCGAAAACTCAGAAATCATGACGTCACTAAAACCTCGATATCTCAAAAATTTTCCGACCGATTTTTTTGAAACTTTGTCACAATAAACTTCAATTAATTCCCTACAGGTACAAAAAATTTGGCGCGCCTGCGGCGCGCCGTTTTTAGGCTATGGCCCGGCGAAAAAAGTGGGGGCGTTTAACGCCCCCCCCAGCAACTCGCGGGTTAAGAAATGACACAAAGCACACAGGTCAAATGACTTTATTAGGTTCGCAGGTACTAATGCCAGTTGCTAGTTGGACATAATTTACACTGCTATCCTGACTCGAGCAATTTGAGATTATAGGCTTTGCGGTTACTTGTAAGGCATCAATTAGGCTACCTCAAATAGAAAAAACTGGCGTTAATCCAATAAATTGCGTGGTGAACAACAATATCGCACGTCTCTAGAGGTCAACAGATGGCGAAGTAAGCGCTCCAGCGCAAAACTCGGCGGTAGCATCCAATTAACGGTGGGACGACGACACCGCGACGACGGACTGCCGTCCAACATGAGCAGCGTTTCGACAAACGACCGCCATCACGCAACGAGACCGGCGCGATCATCCAGCTGCAAAACAGCGGCACAGCAGACAACTTGCGAGCAACTCCGGAAAGCCGGCCATCAGCGAGTGCGTCCCGCCGAGCTGCGGAGCGGCGGCGAGCGACCAACAGAAACAGGCCCGGCGACGGCCACCGGCCGGGGACCGCTACCGCCCGCTGGAGACCGCTGGAGACCGGCGGCGGACCTCCACCTCCACCGCCACTTCACCGCTCTGGTGACAGTGTGTGACATCCGGCCATAGGCAGTGTCGGCCGTGACAGGCCGTCATCGGAACGGACATTAACGGACTGCCCGCGCGCCGCCGTGCGGTTCGCCCGGCGCGGCCGTAATTGCTCCACAAACATTCATTTGCAGTGGCCTGCAAACGGCTACGCACAGCCGGCGCAAGGCACGCCGCATAGTAATGACGCACTGGTGTGTAGAGAAGTGTTGACACACCACGAAAACAACCGCCTACTTGTCACGCTGCTTCCGGCTGTCAGGCCGGATGTCGGACCTGGATAACGCCGCTGTGTGAGCTGCTTGACGGATAAATTCGGCTAGATGTGCAGTATTTCAAGTCAAAGGTAAGATTTTACTAAAAGAGTAAAATGACGTAGAATGACGCAGCAATAGCAAATCAGGAACACGTTTTTGAACAGACTAATTTTCAACCAGCAGGTTTCACCAGCTAAATACGATAGAAAATATAAGAACTTCACATTTAAAGTCATTGATAATTAGAACAAACCTATTATTCAGATTGGCACGGACTTTCGGCTGATTTCATGCAGCAATGTTCTAAAAAAAAACGAAATGAATTGTTGCGTTTGTGTTTGTGCCCATAACATGAGACACGACACGATCCCAGCTGCTGGTGCTTACCGAACAGATAATAAGCATCTGTTCCCGTCACCATTTTGAGCTGAATCCGTGGCTTCAGCTAAAAACATAAATGCACAGGTATCGTTGAACGGTTTGTACATTCTTTTTGCGGTGTTTGAGATAGCTCTCGGCGGGTAGCTGGTATGATTACCCGTCACCGGTGTGTTTTCCGGACAGTACTGGGCGGGCATGACACATTGAATAGGTACGTTTAGTGAAGAAAGACCGAAAAAAATATATTAAGCTATGACCAAAAGACATCAAACACATTCGTTTCTAACCTTTTTTAAACAGGTATATTTGGTAGTTAAACAAAATAATTTCCTACTAAGCATCATGATAAAAATTATCTTCTGTTTTAACCGAAGGAAACATCACACACTTTACGTTGCAGGGTTATGATATAAGATAATTATGATGCCTATAAATGTGCACAGCTTCTTGTTAAAGCTAGTTGCTCCTTGTGATAAACAAAGTTAATGTGCCCTTAATAAAGACGTCGAGGTTTGTGAAACGTCGAGCAATCTTATTTCCCATATTTAATTCGTGGCTTCGCCTAAAAAAGAAGCCAAGGTGATTGAAATTCGAATTGCGTTATGGTGCATAGGCGCTACATATTTAATAAAATCTTGCCATCAAGTTACCGTGAATTTCATAAGGCTTGCAAAGAATGTTGACATAAATTTCAATTTGATGCGGATTATAAAAAAAATCGTTGCTTGTTGACGATAACTACATTTATGGAACTACAATAACTGTTATTGACAGCATACGCAAAAACTGTTGACTGGTCGTTACTTATCACATCATAGGATACCGGTGAAACATGTAAATACTTCTCGGAAGGGAGCTCGGTAGAACACAGATCGATTGCACCCAATCACTACCTACACTGTTGAACCAAACAGCCAAACATCAGTCAAGCTACTGAGAACGACTGTACCTGTAAACACTAGGAATCAGTGGCACACAGCTCAGGTACTCACTACCGGCCACTATTAGCCCAGGTTATGGAATCGTGCGGCGTTTAATAACCGTTTTCGGACACGCTACCGCTGGGCCATATATTCAAATGACAGGACGACGCCCCGAAAATGACAGCCGCAGTCAGTCTGCAGGGGCGCGGTGGTCGGGTCCGACGGCCCCCCACCCCGCACCACCAGGCCCCGGGGACGCGGTCGGAGCAAACGGCGCTCACCGGCCGACAGCAGTGCTGAGGAGAGCGGCCAGCAGCGCCAAAAGTTAGCCTATGTTTTCAGCGCTCAGCAGAGTGCGATCAATCTCTGGCGCCGAGCGGGCCGGCCTGTACTGCCACGCGAAAAACAAGCCAGCAGTAACGGAGTCCCGACCCAAACAACACAGATTGCTGAGGTTAAATGGCCCAATTGTCTGCAATCAGTACAGAGATCTTGACAAATTGCATTAAGTTACATTCGTAAATAGTGTTCAATTAACAAAATGGCTCTATTGAGACAGGTCGCACCACTCCCCAGGCGCCGCGCCAGCACGCGGCGCGGTTCAGCGCATCCCTGAGTGATGAGCCGCCCTCAGTCCGCGCTGTACGGGCCCGGTGTCGGCAGTAAGCGGACGGTAATCGCGTGTCTGCCGGCCGTCGACGGCCGCTCCGTCCAGACCGGCGCGGCGACGGCCGACGCGGCCCACCTGGCGCTCTGGTGCGCCACTCCACGGCCCGGCCGGGCCGCCACTGCCGCACTATTTCTGTCGGCGCTGTTTTGACTGTCGTCAGTTCCCGCAGCTGACAGAAACCATCGGGTCGCCGGCGGCGAACACTGGTGCCGTTAGCCGGCCCCGGGAGCCATTACTGGTGTAAAGCGAAACCTGCCGCGGTGTGTAGGTGTCTGTTCTGTGGCGCCAAGCGCTAGGGAGAGACTGGTCTTTGGAGAGCCTGTCTAATAATACACCGTGCACGACAATGCAACGAGGTGGGGCTTGCCGACTCATTTAGTTGGGTTGTTGAATATGCTGCTGAAGTCTTAATTTAGGGCTAATCATATGGTTCTGAACACAATATATTCTACGAGGCTTCGAAAAGCTTATCCAAATTGGTGACCGCACCATTAACACTGATCAGTTGCCAATCATTCTAGATCAAACACCGTGTGTGTGTGTGGGGGGGGGGAGGAGGTCGGGCGAAGTATGAGGTCTTGAACGTTTTACGAAATATAACCAATAACAATAATAATGCTATAAAGCACATAATCCTTCCTCACTGAGCTCTCAAAGCGACATCTGGTTTATGAACTCACGGTTAACAATTTAAAACATTTCGAAGCTGAACAACCCTCACTCCTCATCCACGCCCACATCTACTTTATTTGAATCGAATGGTGTTTTAGAGTGTCAATGACTCGAAGCCAACAGCTCACCTCCCGTCGTTTCACATGTGAGAGTGAGCGATTCCCCTTCTGGCACCGGTGAGGTCACGTCCAGCAGTCGCATTCCTTCGCTGTCGTATATGACTGGCTCGTCGGGTGGCACTGAAAAGAAAAGAAAAAAAAAAACATACAACGGTCATTGATTTGGCATTCTTGGTAGACCTTCACCTGTGGCAAATTCAGCAGCCAGGTCGCACCACAGCGGCGCTGTTTGTTGGGTGTCTTTTCAGTCAGAGTTGATGTATACCGCCCTGCTCGATACCCCGTTTACCAGCGCCCTCGACTCAAACATCGGTGTTATTTAGCAGCACCATTACGCTGTTGACTCCCCACTGTCCGTTTGGTTGTGGGCGCACTATGGATCGATTCGGTCGCACCGCGTGAAAATCGGGCCGGCCTCCCCATTCACAAGTCAACGCCGGCGATTGTCCATTTCGAGCAGGCCATTGCCGAGGAGTGCTTATGGCTCCGGCGGCGGGCTAAGCCGCGCGCTGACACGTTGGCCGCGCTGACGGCGGGCTCTTTTCCGCCGCGGACGGCGCGGTGCGGAATGCAGCAGTGACGTTACGACACACTAAAGGCTGCCGAATGGTACAAGCAGAGTGGAGCTGGCCCCAGCGATGCCCCTCGCAGGCAGTTTACGCCCGTCACGGAGCGGCTATACGACCTCGTACAGGTGGCATTCGGTCGCAGCCGGCAACACTTGTCCAGCATTTACCGATGCATACGGAGTGAGCAAGAGCGTCTTTTTTATTGCTGATAACTGATATCAGAGCATATTATTTCAAGGTGTTGTCTGAGCGTAATATATGTACTGTAAACGAAGACATTGACTGAAGATATTCTTTAAGATGCAATTGAGGCATGCAACATCAAGCAAGCACCGTATTTTACGGTCGACAAGGTTGTGTTGTGCTTAAGGAGAGCGAACATGCAATAATTTTCAGCGAGAAGTATTGACGTTAGCATTTCTTCATCAACGATCTTCATTGAAGATCCGGGGAGCAATTGAACGCGTCTTTACATAAGCGTTGCGCCCGTTTGCGGTCATAATTAGAAGGGTCTGTTCCTGACGTCTGTGACAACTACGGCTCATTTCCGATTGTCGTGGACACATACAATATTGGGCCGTGGGGCCGACCACCACTCCCCTCCCCCTCCCGACTACTCGGCCTGTGATCAGCAGCGCGTGCGTAACGTAACTTCTTTGATAGCGACCAGGGAGAGCGCCTGGCGCTGATTGGGCGGCGCAGACTCGCCACGGAAAATGCGTAACTACATTTCCGTGGCGATTTCGGCATTCGGGTCGTTAATTCGGTCCAGAAAATATTCATAGTTAGTGCGAGCGGAGTTAATTAAGTCGCCGTTCCAACTCTAAACATCCCATTGCAGAGCGTTTTCCGAGCCAATCTAGGGAAACTGGTGTCGCGTTCGCCGAGAAAACAGCTTCCGAGGAGTCTCGTCGGTGTCACGGCGACAAAAACTGCGACATAACTTCTCCACTCCGCCCTTAGCGCGTTAGCCGGGAACGGCAATACTGGAGCGCAGCCGTGTGTTTGTCCGGACGCCACCGTCCGCTCCATTATAATTAACGAAATTGTCCCCGCCAGAGACACTGACGTACGTTTCTGTTTACCGGCCGTTTATGAGAAAGCGACGGAGCGGCGCTGGCGACGGGTGAGGTCTCCCATTCCGTCGGCGGTGCCTGTTGACGAACGCTGCAAGATCGGCCCCCGGGGAGACACACTCTCACGCAACGACCCGCGACGCCAACGACGCGACAGTAGCGACGGTAGCGACGCGACGATGGCGACGACTACGACGCCGATGGGACGACGAGATTGGTGCCAGAGTTTTGCCGACACATTGTCACCAACCGATCACCATCGGTCTTCCTCGGACCGGCAGCTGATGAGAGTCGGTATCCACCAAGGTTGCATATTTGTGCCGGCTCTCTTGGGAACAGGAGCGGGGGTGGTGGTATGGTATTGCGGTTGGGGGGAGTGGGTGAGCGGCATCCTTCCGCACGACAGCGTCGCCGGACGGCCCGGCCGGGACGGTAGCGTGCAGCTGAACACGCTAATAACACGCGTGAGGATTCTTTTTGTGGCGCACTTCGATAACGAAAAAAAAACAGACCTTCACCATAAAAGACTGACATCCAGCGGCTTGGACGAATGTAATTTCATACAAAGTTAATGCATCGACAAGGTCGTCACATGCTAGAACGGGCACAACATGCTTTGGCTAATGCAATTGAAGTCAGCATTGTTTATCGACCACGGTATGCTACCAATGTATAGTGCGGTATAAGCAAATACGGACGATTCAAATGCTCATCGCAAATGCATTCCTTTTGGTGGCAAAACATATAGAACCTTTATTGTTTCATCTCTTCGGTGATGCAAAAGTATTGCAAGTGAATCAAGGTTTGTTCAGATATTTATAGAAGTCATCATTACAGATCGCTGCAGTAAGATACATAAACGAACATGCTCCGAGAACCACTCTGCTAGCCTCGGTCCAGCGACACTGTATGCATTTCTCGAGTGGGCGCACCTAATCAGAAGCCTCATCAAACAGCCAGAGCAGTGCAGCATGGCCTGCTTTATGTACTTACCGATTAGGGTCAGGTTGGTGACGCCCACCCTGGACGGGCTCTGGATGAAGTCGGCTCGGCACACGTACACGCCCCGGTCCAGCTGTCTCAGACTGCTGAGCACCAGCGCCGGAGGCGAGAGCTGGTAGAGGGCCCGGGCGCGCGGAGACAGAAGGTCGTCGGTCAAATGGTGACCTCGGCCGGCCGGCCGACCTCTGGCGTCGTACCTGTGAGCGGGCGAACGGTCAGAGAGGGACCTCCCCAGGCGATCGAGAGGGACCTTCCCAGGCGATCGACCGCCTGGGGTCACAGTTCTATGTCCGGGTCACGGGTCAGGTGAGAGCCGCCCCTGTCGACAGGAAGGTAGTCAGGGTCTGGTGCCGACAGCCACTAATGAGGCAGGTTCCAACGTCGTTCCATTAGCGAGAGGAAATGTTATTGAAATTAAGCAGCGTCGTGCGCAGTACTAGCCACTAATTAGAGACATTGGAAGTAGATACTGTCAGCGCTGACATTGCTCACCGGTCCTCTCTATCATCAGGACTATCCCTTCCTCATCCTTAAGCATTCTTCATTGTCCCCTGTCCAGGTTAACGGTCAAACTTAACAGATAATCGGAAGAGAGCAGCTTCAAATAGTACCTAGCTTACTGGTTTGGAATGAGCGATTCCCTCTGGGTCACTCTCTTGCCCCAGCGGGATGAACTCTGCACGCGTCGCCCAGTGGTCGACCTAGCCCCTAAATCCCTCTCCCTCTAATCCCATAGCCCCAACATGGTCTCATTAGACAGAGAGGTTCTGACCCAACGAAACAACTAGTACGAACAGACAAGTAGCGCTGCTCGCCGACCGTGCCCACTCGCCATTACTTGATGGACACACCTGCGAAGACCAACTGACATAGTTCGTATCCTCACATTTCCCAGGTGTCACCCCGGCGCGCGATATCCTACTATCTCGCCTATCCAGAGCTGACTGGGCAGAGGTCAACTTTAATGCCCCGCCCGTCGGCCGTGCCATCCGCTTCGTTAGGTCACAGGTCGGGTCAAAGTTCATCGGCCAGCTCACAGTTTCAATGTGGTGGTCCCGGCTTCGAGAGGAGTTTGGACAGCCTGACGCCCGAACAAAGCATCACGAAGCGGCGTGATTGACCGATGTGGGAGTGTGGGACCTTCCGGTGACAAATTTATTCAAATAGCGAAGTTTGTGGTTTGATCTATTTTTATACTGCTATCAATATTGTTTCGTAAAGTCAGCTTTGATTTGATAAGCAGTCAGATTCCGGCCCAGTTTGCAATTCTGAAATGACCGGAGGTTGTGCCATGGTGACATGTCGAACACCACATCATAGTGGATTGGCTCGCTTTAAACGATGACAGGTCATATATTCGTTTCTGAACTCGATCGGTCGCGGCACGCCTGGACTGATATGTCACTGCAGATTTGGAGAACGTGTCAGCCATGTCAAACTGTGTTAGAGCTGGGTCATGGGACTCTCGTGGATTCATGAATTGTTTGACTGTAAAAAGAAATACCGAACGAGTGAAATGAGTGTCATCACTTCCTCCATTTGTCATTTCAAATACAAACTTTTTTTTGTGTTATATTTGCACGGAATAAAGACTTTGGATGACAATGTGCTTCGAATATCACAGCTTGACGAAAGAAATTATCAGTCAAATCTCACATTGATGGACACTTAATAAGGAAAAAATGAAGGAAAAAGAGAGCAACGAAAATGGACGCCTGCAGGTTATTCCGGAAGTGATGCTCGGAAGTCAAATGCCTATCACCACCACTTCATTGTTGGTAACAAACAGTTGGTAATGTATGGCGTAGGTAACTGCCAGTTTCAGTGTATGACTGGATTGACCTACATGACCTCTTCGTTACTAGAACGAGACCCCTGGCTGCAGAATTGCTCCAATACAGCGCTGTGTGCACTGTGCAGTTTGGTAGTCCACTCAAGACTCCACTAATTACTGGCTGACAGTCGACTATTATCGAAACGTCTGCTGCAAGTGGCAGCCGTTGACATTTACTGAGATAGTCACTTAGTACGGCGCTGAAGTCAAACGGACCCAGGCGCTAAAAACAATAAAGGGAGGTTGATTTAGAACGTAACCTTCCTCTCCTTCGCTCACTGCCTCCCTGCTTTATCCGTCGTCTGTCGTTTTATTTCTTCTTCTTCCTTTTTCTGGTTCTCTTATGTTTTCTTCAATTTCACGCTTTGTCACTTTCTCTTCGCCTTCTATCTCTTTCATTTTCTTTCTTTTTGCACTCACTCTCTTTTACCTACTTTACTCTCACCCCAAAAATGCCGAATACAACTCATATCAGGTACGGAACGTTATGTGAGCCTTTAGGCAAAACCAAACCGACTTATCACGCAAGAAACAATAAACTTTGTATAAATATAGGCTCCGTCGTTCGCTTACTCTGAAGCGAGGTCATTTGCTTTTCACCATCATCAACCTATTCCAGGCCGCCACAGCTCCTGGTGCTGCCGAGTTCCTCCTACGCAGAACTCGACGCTATCCCAAAGGTGTTTTCTCATAATCCAGCCGGCCGACTGCACGCCGTCCATGATAATCTCTCGGACCAGTCCTATGGGATGGCGTCGAGGGCGTGGGGGCGGGCGAATAGACGAGGCGGAGCATAGTTAGGTTACGTCCCATAGCAAAGTCTGCTGTATTGCTGATATAGAGTAATCTGTGCTTATGTATCCGTGGTCCATAGACAAAGTCGATAAAAATTGATTAGAAGACACTGTAATCTACCCAGGAATACCGTACAGCGACGCTAAAAAACAAACATCCACTTGCCAATACATACGCCGATGCAAATTTAACGCCTGTGTGCAGCAACCAGCGTTCCATTTCCATTTGGCGAGTGGCCGGGGGCTGTCGTTTTATGGAGCGCGCCTTTCTCGGGACCACCTGGCTGCTCGTTTCCAGTCTCTGGGGACGCCCTGTAATATCAGTGACGGCCTCGCGCCGCCGTGACCAGGGACGCCGTCGAAATGATAGCTTCTCTGGAGCGGCGGCGGCAGATCGGGTCAGACTGCCGAGTGGACCCAAATGCGCGGGTCAGACTGCGGGTCGGACCCAGATGGACGGGTCAGACTTGGGAACAACCCCAGACAGATGGGGTCAGACTGGAGAGCGGCCCCAGACTGGTGACTAGGCTTAATATCGGTCCCAGTCGGCCAGATCTGGCTTTAATACCGTTTCAGATGGCCTGGCTAGTCTCACAACATCGCTGTGCGATTGCGAGGTCAGGCTTGGTACGCGTCTCAGACAGTCGGCACTCTCTCCACGTGTGCATACTCGTGACTAGTTACTGTCACAGACTAGCCGGCTATAGACTCTGACGCTTCTGTGCTGTTGCCGGGTCAGACTAGTGTCAGTTCAGACAGGACGCTGCGATATACTTTTTTGTCATTCCGACGATGATGATGTCAATGACAGCACCACAGTGATACTGAGGCTGAGCAATGTCAGCTTAACCCTCGCACGACCAGGCCATTTCTCATAACACGAACGACCAGGGGGGGGGGGGGGTTGTTACGACCCCCCCCCCCTGGCGTTTCGAAACGGAAGGTCGTAGAGCTTAGCGGAAAAAAACCAACGGATTGCTCTCAACGAGATCTCGCGATTGGTGGTATATTTTTTGGTCCTAGGTCAACATTTGACCTACTTATGACCGGTCAAAGGTCAAATTTTCCGAAAAAATCAAACTTTTTCAACTTTCCGCGGCGATTGCGGCAAAACGGTGGGAGATATCGACTTGAAATCTTCACTATCGTGTTCCTTGATCAATTCTCTATCGTTTGGTATGTATTTCGTTTCCCTAGCTCTAAAAATGGCGCGTTGGGAGCGCCGGAAGTCGGCAAGGTCACAGTCGGCGGCAGAAATTCGAAAAATCAAAATTTAAATTTTTGAAATCTGATTGTATTTTTGGATTTGGGAGGTCCATTTGCTCCCTATAGAAGCTAATATTGCTGCATATTCCCATTGAGGTGACAAGAATTAGCAAAATAGTGGTTCGGGCGCTTTTCAAAAATAGTACCGGACGCTGTTCCTCTTGTGACGTCATAGCTCCGTGACCTGACCTGACCCGGTCAATTTTCTTGCACCACACGATAGCCAATGCTTGCCCCAACATGCATGGGAAGTTTCATCATGATCCATCAAACAATGTGGGTATCACCGGCAGAAAACCTAGGGATTCGGCGCACACGTTTGGTAACTGTCGGCCGGAGGCTGTACCTCTTATGACGTCATAACTCCGTGACCTGACATGACCCGATCAATTTTTTTTTCGGCAAAAGATGCGCAAAGGTTGCCCCAGAGGGTATTGAAAATTTCAGCCCGCTACGACAAGCCGTTTAGCGTGCACTTCGAAAAAACCTCAGGGGGGGTGATACAACCCCCCCCCCCCCTAGGCGTTCTAGGGTTAATGGCAGGGCGGTGAGAACTCACGTGTAAAAGGGCAGCTTGGAGCCCAGTCGATACCAGAGTACCAGCTCCAGCTTATCGTCCGGGTCAGGCCGGCTGGCTTCACAGGGCAGTGTGACGGCTCCGTCGACCAGGCCCACCACAGTCTGTACCGCCACTGTCGGGGAAACATGCAGCGTGTTACCAGGGAACGGAACACTGTTACCCATCACACACAACACCGTTTGTTCTGCCACTGTGGGAGAAATACCTACAGCGTGTTACACTGTTACCACCATGTGGACGCGATAATGTTAGCTGGGTAGGGTCAGTGTGACAGACGACCAGCGACGTCATTATTTTCAGTGTTACCGTTTCCCCGATAACAGTTAGCACACATGGTCAGTGTCGTGGCTTGCAGCATTACTGTCTCTGTTGATGGTGCACCACCAGTCCACCGCATGTCTTATGAATCAATTCAGGTCTGCCACTTGAGGCGGACGCGTCATTTATCTAACGCGAATGTGGCAGTTGTCCGACAGTTTGACATTTGACGGTGACATACAATGCGTCGTCGGATTAGTCCGCGTCGCCGCGCGAGTTTTCCAATCAATCGATGGAGGCTTGTCACGTACAGCAATTCAATATTCATTCAATAAAATCGTACTGTCTGGGAAATTAAGGAAACCTTTCAAAAGATCTAATTGAAATGTTTTCAGAGGTTCAGAGAAATTGTGCCCAACATGTAACATTTTGGGCAAAATTTTGGTGTCATCCACTTTTCGTGTCCACCAAGTCCCGTAGTTGTGCGCATGGCGTAATATATCAATGAGATGTGGGGAGTTTGGCTCTCAATGGACTCAATAGTTTTGATCTCATTGATTTTTTCGCCTATTCTTTTTTACCTATAACTCCCAGATATCCAACTAATGGCGAGATCCTTGGGTTCCATTGAGGTCTAGCCTTCTTATGCAATCAATTGTGGCACATCCAAGCTACGCAACTGCCGCAGGCAGCTCAGCTACAGCGACTTTGGAAAATAACGTGCTATCTATCGTACAACGCATGGTCGAAAACAGGGCTTCTTATGTCCATAGAGAGCAAGCAAATATGGTGACATTTAACACTGCACGTGCACTGTTTGCAGGATCAGTAGAGTTTCCATAAAAGTAATGCTTTTGAAATATTTACACACAATTTTGTAATGTAAACTCAGGTGACATGCACAATGAAAAACAGAAAGGTCAGCTCATCCCTACCCCAGGTTATATAACATATATAAGCCTCTGGAAAGTTATAAATGCAAACGATAATAAATAAATATCAACTGGAAGGCAAGGAAAAAACTTGAAGGCAAGAAATGCCAGTGATAGTAGTCAAATGTACTCACTTTTTCGCTACACTTACTATATAAGGCGATGCGGCAATGTAAATAATGGTATCATGAAGTGCTAACTGCTTACAATATAACAATAAAAGAAACAACAACTTACTATTAGAGTTATTTTGGCTGCAATACGATTTTAGGCAATAGAAGCTGGGAGCCATTTTCATCGTCTTCCGCAGTTCCAGAGGTTCCAATTTTCCTGATGTACGGCTTTTCGAGTCAAATTTTCATAATGTCTATTTTGTGTATAAACAACAGAAGAAGTTGTACGACGGTTGTCTGAGGGCTTCGGTTCCACCTAACTAAGAACAAGAAACACGTTCTCGGTTGGCGGTATTACCAGAGTTTGGCTCTTCGGACAGTGGCTGCGAAAACATTTCGGTGAAATATAACTCGAGCAATTTTCCGGCCATCACAAGAGCGTGAACATTAGAAACATATGCCGATATCGAAATGATTGGTGTCAGTAACGCCATCTCAAGTAGTTGCTCAGTTTTCCGAATTTCAGAAGTTGAGATGTTGAAAGTTAGCCAGATTAGGCGAGACTTGAATGGAACAGCTTCTTATAAGTTATGGCATTAAGCGCCCAACGCAACTTTGCCCGGCAAACGAGCTGAAAGGTTTCGTCAAGTTATATTGACGCGGCAAGCAGTGCTGTGCAGTGGTGATAAAGAATATGTATTTTGGAGCCCAATATATCAAGAAGCAGCCTCGCAAAAGCACGGTTTACCGATGGAAAGCACACATACATCACTGAAGCGGGCTGGCAAAATACAGCAACGCCGGATCTGAAGCGCGGCATAAATCTCAACGGCGCCTGATCTCGGATGGTCTATGACCTTAATAAAGACGGCCATCCATAGCCAGCTTACCATATATGATGTTATGGATAATAACCTCAGGGGTAGATGGATCTGCTAACATTAAGTAAGTCACAGACGAGCAATGCAATAAAACTAGCACTTCCCTCTCAGTCGCATATCAAATGCACTAAAATAATCACACATCCGGGTTGCATTCCAGCACAGTCTGTGCAATGTGTTTCTGCAATCGGGTTACGTCTGGCGATGCAATACGATGGGCTCTCGGGCCGCGCTGTCAATTCGCTCGCGGGTTATTACATCGTAGGCCGGCTCGGGCGGACCGCCCGCGGCGCCTATTGCTTCTGTCCCGAGTCATCCGTCTTGGTGGGCCGTTCCGTTCTTCACTTGAGTCGACTGCCGACAGGAGGCTATCTATTACCGGTCGCACAGTACGGGCGCTGTTTTTCCTGACCGGACTCGTTAGGCTCATTCATCGACCTGAAAAGGGCTGCGGGTAGGCGGCGGGGCGGGGATATGGACCGCCTGCCCTGCCGAGTGGGGCGCATTTATAATGGCGGTGTATGTGTACAAATGGGGTCTGGATACAGAGAAGGACTGGACCATAGGCGGAGTCGGTGATCGTTGTTCGCAGATGGATGGCAACCATCGTGCTCAGCCCGGCGCGCATTCAGGCTAAATATGACGGTCATATGATGGGAGCTACATCACCGTATTTTAGACCATCCATAATTACTGGGGAGGAACTGACGTCCATTTTACGTGCAGCTACCCGGTAAGCCAATACATGCCTCGGTGGGAGGCTAATACAAGTTTTAAGCTGGGTGGGCACTATCGCTGGCTACGACCAGTCCGGTGAGCCGCGGCGAATTTTCCGTCCGAGCGGCGGAGCGCTGCAGAAATTGCAGCCAGGTGATTGAGTGGGCGTCGTTGTCAGTTCGCGGTGAAGAATCGCCGCACATATCCCCCACATTGCCAGCGCCAGTAAGTGGGCGCCGCCCTCAATGGGTCGCGGTCGTAGCACGCGCGGCGCTCGGAGCCCCTTTCATCCGTGAGAGCACACACTCATAAACACAGCTCCGGCCCTCGTGTGTATAGCCTCTGATGGATGAAGGCGGCCGGCCGAGTTTGAGCCGCTCTTTGAGTTGGGGCTCGGCCGTCCTGAGAGCTGCGGTCTGCCCCGTCTTCTCTGTCTGTCCACCGAGCCCCAGCGGTCACTGTCGCGGCTCTGCGCGTCCGCTGCGATCGATGGCCGCTCACTGCACACGCACGTGACATGCAGTGACTGGAAACCATCACTCACCGCTGTTCATTGTACGTGTAGTTCACGCCATTCCGTTGTCTGCCGCCGGGGTCCACACACTGCGGTGGCAGCTAATATCGGCAGCCCTGTCAGCTTATCAAATACATACCAGGATGTTCTCATATTGCGATATTTGATTCACGAGTCATCTATTCTCAGATGTCAGAATAGACTATTTTCGCTTCAGCGGGAGGTGTTCTATGTTGTGTAAGGGTCTGAGACCTGGTGCCGTTGTAGGTAGGTATATACAGCATGCAACTGTATCCAGGATGACTCAAAGGCATAGCATAACGTTTCGAACTCATATTCGAATATAGCACACGAGTGGGCATAGATCGCCTTTCCTCACCTGTTGCAAGAACTGGCAAATGTTAATGAGAAAACTCATTTATTATGCCATTGCCATGATATTTTTGAAGACAAGCAAAGCAAAATACTAGCCTAGATTTGCCACTTATACGTCATGACCTGTCAGCTCTATTTGTCATTCGTCAGTACGGCCTAATACCATTTCACTTTTATCAATTTCCATTATAAATGCCGTTACTGAGCTAACTTGTAAGAATCCCATAATTGATAATACGCCACGTAATGTGAGCATCAGACAATGTTTAGCAAAATATTACCTAATGTGTGATTGGAAATTTGAGGTCGGGGAGCGGGAGAAGGGACAGAGTGAGAGGAGTAAGAGAGTGAGAGAGATGTTAGATAAACAGAGACAGAGACAGAGACAGAGACAGAGACAGAGACAGAGACAGAGGCAGAGACAGAGACTGAGACAGAGACAGATAGAGACATGCCCGCCATTCCGCCTACGACTGGTGGCACTGACCATTGGATACAGATAACAATGGAGCTATTGTTGGGGAGCGTCGCCGCGCGACACTCGCACAGCGTCGGCCTTTCAGAGCCCGAGCGAGCAATGATTGGGAGCGGCGCGGAGCCGGCACAGCGGCACCTGTCGATTTCGCCACTCCTGAGCCGATTGAGCGCCGTATCCAATCCCCGACGAGCAACCCTCGAGGAGCTGCTCAGTGCTCAGTGATGAACTCGGCTCGTCGACTGTCGACGCGGCTTTTGGGCTCTTCGGAGAATACGGACAGAGCGGGTCGAGTCGGCGGGACGACAGCGGGCCGAGCGGACAGCCGGCCGGCCGGGCGAGCCGAGCGGAGGGCGCGCGGGTCGTCCTGCCGCGCGCGCGGACAGCGAGCGGGCCGGCCGCTCTGGCGATGACAAGCCGGCCACCAGAGGCAGACTCTGCCGTCGGCGACGGCCGGCGCCGACCACAAAGGTCTCATTCAGGCCTGACTGAGTGGCCATTAATTTTGGCCGGTGGTTGGGCGCATTGTCCGAGCGGTGCTGATGCTTCTGGCGGTGGTTACGGGCCGTCGCGCCGGTGGCCGGCCGCCGCTGGTCGATGGTGGGTGGCGCCCGGTCCAGCCCGGTCCAGCCCGGGTCTGTGTCGCTAGGGTCATGGATGAAGTATACCTAATCCATGCTAGGGTGGAGCCGGGCCGCCCAGAGTGGCACGCCGGCGGACCGGCTCCTAACGCACCTCCCCGGGCAGAGCCGGCCGACACGGGGCCAGGGCACGACTGTGGATACAGCAGACGGAAATGTTTGTTTAGCCGTGCTTAGACTGTTTGTGGAAAATAATGGTGGATTCC